CCAATTTGCTTCTCTATAAATAAAAATACCGACGCATGACGCGTAAAACCCCGAATAGTCTCAGTGTTCTTTTCTTCTTATCGAGTGCATTTCAGATTAAAGCCGCCCCTCCAAAAACAATATAATAGATGAAAAACTACAAAAATATATTATTTAGTTTTTAATTTAATAGTAATATCGTTAGATAAAACGAATTGAACAGTAAAATTACATATCTACCATTAATATAATAATATATTAAAAAATTTCGATTTATTTTTAGAATCTTAAGCCCGTCAGAGTAGTCGACAAAAATCCGCTGTCTAAATTTAGACAGCGGCCAAACTCCATATAAAAAAACGGTGTCGAAAAAGGAAGAAGAAGAAATTGAGGTATGGAATTTAAAATGTGGCGCCAAAGCTACAAGCAAGCCCAAAATAGTTGTTGCCGTTTTTTCTGTATATTCTTGCCCCAATATGTCCCCAATTTTTACTTTTTAATATAAACCGCCTGCCTCTACCTTATTTTAAAGATTTTGGATGCCTATACCACCTATAGACACTCCGGGGAATTGGCTCTTTGTTAGAGAAAAATCATTAGAAAAACTAAAATTCCTTGTCATTTATTATATGTTTGGTACAGGTTTATATATTCCTACCAACTTTGGTTAAAATCAGATCTCTATATCGTATAGCTCCCATACAACATTTTTATTAAATTATTTTTTTTCCAAGACCTAACTTTAATTTTTAAGTTTTTGTTCTCTTAATGAGAACGTTAGTGAAATATAAGTTCCCAAAAGTAAAAAAAAAATATTCACTTATATATTGTGTGTTTAATTTGTTCAGCAACAATCGTACGCAGCTTAAGGGGGGTAAGGTTAATTGGGTGCAAAACTCACTACTTTTCAAAAAAATGTTGTGACGAAACGGCTAAAATTAGCTTAATGAATTAAATACCATATAATAACACAACATTTGAACAATTTTTTTTTTTAATTTTTGTATTAAAAAATATTTTCATGCTTACGAGTAATAGCGAATCTCCTGAGTCCCCACAAAAAAAGTTTATTTTCGGTGTACATCCTATCCTAACTGTCCACAAAAACATCCGATATCAAAAAAATATATTGTATTCACTAAAGGATACGTGCCCCGAGGTACTCAGATGACGTTTTTATTTTTAACATTTTTTCCCAATTTTTTATCAACCCGGATTATTGGCGCTGGCAAAATTTGACCTTGAAAAAAATAAATATTAAAATATTAACGATTACAACTACATCCGCAACTTTCCGCACCTAACTTTAACGAATTTAACATCATAAAACTCTAATAAATTAAAAAAAATAAAATCCTTTCTGGGAATCGTGGGGGATCACAACTAAAACTTTAGGTAAACAAATTTAAGACACACAAAACAGGTACAAACAAATAGGTTTCACATATCAAGTTAGATTTTGTTAATTTCATATCAAGTTAGTATAAATTAATTTCATAAAGTAAAATAAATACCTTGAGCTTCAAAATCCATTTTAAATAATATTAATTTAACGACTTGAACAGTTACCAGACAGATTTAAAGTGCGCTTTTGCTTCGAAATATTTCACCACAGCTCCGATGCGCTGTTGAAATGAACACGTGTTCATGCTTTTGATTCTATTTTTAGAATGTACCGTTGGGTTTCCAGCGAAAAGCGGTTTGCAACTTGGTAGATTGGACATTTTAGAGACAAACTGTGTAAATTTAATTGTAATATTTTCAAATTGGTTTTTTTGATTTTTGGCCTCTGACGGAACCACTGTGCAATGGTAAGCAATTCGTCTCGAAGGCGTTCCAAGACATGATGGAGGCATATGGGGTACAACATAGGCGGACGGCGGTGTATTCCCCGCAGAGTAACGCTGCAGAGAGGGTCAACCGGACGGTGCTGGCCGCGATTCGGACGTATCTCGAGGAAGACCATCGGAACTGGGACGCATTTCTGCCGGAGACCGAAGTCGCGATCCGGAATGCAGTGCACGAGGCGACGGGCGTGACTCCTTTCTTTGCAGTGTTCGGGTAGCACATGTACCTGCACGGCAGCTGCTACAAGTTGGCCAGGAAGCTGCAGTCATTGACAGACCACGAAGTGGCCACCTTAAGCTGCCAGGACAAGCGCAACATTATACACGAACGTATCAAGCAACACCTGCATCAGGCGTACTAGCGGAGCAGCCGGCAGTACAACAAACGCGCACGGGAGTTTCACGTTAAACCAGGCCACAAAGTCTTCCGTAGGAATTTCACCCTGAGCGATTTCGGGAAGAACTACAACGCCAAGTTCGCCCGGAAATTCGACAGGTGCCGATTCGTGAAGCCCGTAGGGAACAATATGTTCGAGCTGGAGGACCTGGCGGGGATGCCTATCGGCATCTACCATGCAAAAGACTTGCGGCTGTAAAGTGTTGCATTCGGGCGGTAAGCCTTAGGCGAAACAAATATCGTCCGGGATGCGCACCGAGATAAGTTGGCAGGTCCAGGAAGAGGGGAAGTGGATCCCACCTAGAGCGTCTCATACGATCCACACCGGAGGGGAAGGTGGAAGGTATGTGCCGATCGCGAGAGAGGCTAGCTACACCAACACCAAGGCACCAAAAAGCACTGGCCTTAGAAGCGGTTCTCGACCCCGGGTGAGAGAGGCGAGAAAAGTGAGTAAAGGAATTGGTGGGAACCGAGCCTATATAGGGCAATGTGACCGCTAATGGCGGCCAGTAAGAAAAAAACGGAGCCGGAATGAAAACCGTTTCCCACTAAACCGCCAAACAAAAAATCCGCCAAACCGAAAAAAACCGAAAAAGTCAGTAAAATTACGGAAAGTAAAGAATATAAATTCGGACGGGACTGCGAGAGAAGAAAATAGTGAAAATAAAATAAATAAATTAATAAATACAAAGTTTAACTTGTTATCTTATTATAATATAAATATATTTATACATATTTATATACTGGTCTACTCCGGTAACCGAAAACGGCAAGATTTTTTCGTTTTAGAAAACGAGAAACGGGCACCTTTTTCTGGCCGGAATGAAAAGTAAATGGCTTTTTTATATGAAATCAGATCTTATTTACAAAAGGAAAAAATACTTTACTCAGTGGTATATTGACCTTTATTCCACACCACCACAAGATCATTCTGGCATGTAGTTATTTTATAAAAAATTTATTTCTGACCCCACCTTATAATTGACAACAAAATTTTGGCCGTGTTCAACAAGTTTTCTCGTTTTGGCGATAGGTCGATAGGTTCACCGCAAAAAATTATCGCCAAGGCTGCCATATTGTTGGTGGAACGAAACAGCCAGTTAAAAATACTTATAAAATATAAATAAATACATTAATAACTTTAAAGGACCGCCAAAATGGTTGTTTATAAATAATGATATTTAATTTGATTACTTAAATGGTCAAAAATAATCAAATAATTAATTGAGACCACCGGAATTAAGCGCTTAATTTCGGGAGGCAATGCGACCCCGCTACCAGCCTCTAATTATCCCGAACGCTCTCTCTTTCTCTCCCTCCGGACTTCCAGTCCATAGGGCTTCCAATCCGCTCTCCCATGCTAGGTTTAAGTCTTCTTTGTATAGTTAGTACCAATTTGCTTCTCTATAAATAAAAATACCGACGCATGACGCGTAAAACCCCGAATAGTCTCAGTGTTCTTTTCTTCTTATCGAGTGCATTTCAGATTAAAGCCGCCCCTCCAAAAACAATATAATAGATGAAAAACTACAAAAATATATTATTTAGTTTTTAATTTAATAGTAATATCGTTAGATAAAACGAATTGAACAGTAAAATTACATATCTACCATTAATATAATAATATATTAAAAAATTTCGATTTATTTTTAGAATCTTAAGCCCGTCAGAGTAGTCGACAAAAATCCGCTGTCTAAATTTAGACAGCGGCCAAACTCCATATAAAAAAACGGTGTCGAAAAAGGAAGAAGAAGAAATTGAGGTATGGAATTTAAAATGTGGCGCCAAAGCTACAAGCAAGCCCAAAATAGTTGTTGCCGTTTTTTCTGTATATTCTTGCCCCAATATGTCCCCAATTTTTACTTTTTAATATAAACCGCCTGCCTCTACCTTATTTTAAAGATTTTGGATGCCTATACCACCTATAGACACTCCGGGGAATTGGCTCTTTGTTAGAGAAAAATCATTAGAAAAACTAAAATTCCTTGTCATTTAATTCATTTAAATTTAGTGCGGATAAATTCTGACGCAATCTGTGCCTTTTGCTGTTGTACAACAGCCAAAATAGTTGGTAAATGCTCCATTTCAAATTTGCAACTGCCAATTCGACAGTCTTTGTTTACGTTTTCATGAGCCACAGCTGATCGATCAGATGTTCGGATGGTGAATGTGCTTTGACGGTGTGTGGGAACACGAGCTTCACTTTTTTTAAAAATCCCAAACGTTCCTCACAAATGCGCTGTGTGGGAAGACAGTATTAACCTGCAATACAGTTTTCCTTAGCTTACATACCGCAGTTTCTCTTCCCTCTCTCTGTGATGGCGCAAATCGGTGTAATTCGATCCGCCAAATCTAAGGTTGCCTTTGCCTAAATCAGTGTGCCCTAATACATTTACTCCGAAATCCTGACACAATAAATACTGACTCCTTGCGGCTCTAACTGAAACTTGACTAACTGTCGATAGCCCTAATCCGTTCCGCGACATCCCCGCCCCCGTGAAGCGAAGCATTCACCACGTCCAGGACAGCTACCTTCGAAGCGGGACGCATTGTCGTCTTGGCTAGATTGTTAGGTACTCCATCTCTTCTGATGAACACCTCTTCCACGACGCCTCGTTTCCACTCTATTCGTGGTAATGCCGGATCACATATGTACACCAGATCTCCTCGACGAATGGGCTCGACGTGCTGGCACCATCTCTCCCTGCGCACAAGCGTCGGCAGGTACATAAGCGGACCTCAAAACGGCCATCTCCGGTAAGGCGGAGGTGACCGTCATGCAGGAGACGGTCCAGGTGGAGATCCGTGATCTTGATGACTTGACCAGCGGGGAGGAGGTCACAATGGCACTATTTGCGGGAGAGGACTGCGACGCTGCGCCCAGAATGCGGAAAGCGTTTGGAGGAACGCAAATTGCGACGGTAAGCCTGAGACCCGAGCACGCGCGGAGACTGCTCGAGAAGGGCAAGATCCGAATTGGATGGGTAGTATGCCGCATCCGGGAGAAATTGGAGCCGAGGCGCTGCTATAAATGCATGGGCTTCGGTCACACCTCGGCAAGATGCCGCGCTTCTGAAGCTACGGCCAAAGCCACACAGGAAGCATGCTTCAAATGTGGAGGCACCGGCCACAAGCACTATATGTGCATCAGGGCAAGCCCAGATGCATTATATGCACGCGAGGTGGCAAGACCGCGAGAGACGCAGAGCACGCGACCCTGAGCAGGATCTGCCCCGAGTACGTGAAGGCGGTCAAAAGCAATATCAATGGTTAAGGTTCTTCAACCTAACCTTAACCATTGTAGATCAGCACAAGATCTACTGTCCCAGACGGTCAGCGAGCAGAACATCGACGTCGCTATACTGAGCGAGCCCTACCGGCCAAAACCAGAAGGAGTCTGGCAGCAAAGCACCAATGGCGGCGCAGCCGCCCCCGGGCCACCTAGCAGAGGGCGACGAGGCCTGGCTACGCCATGGCTAAGTTTCAAGGGACAACCATATACAGTTGCTACTTAGTCCCGAGCTTGCACACAGACGAGTTCAGGGAGATAGTGCAGGAGACCGCTCAAAATGCTCGCGGACAGTCACCGGTGATAATCGCTGGATTCTTTAATGCATGGTCCACAGCCTGGGGGAGTACGAGAACGACCCAGCGGGGAACTATCATCCTTGACGCCTTTTCCACCCTGGATGTCTGCCTACTAAATGATGGAAGAAGATGCACATTTAGCAAGCCAGGCCATGATTCATACATTGACCTGACCTTCGCCAGTCCGAAGCTCACCAGAAACAGCTACTGGGAAGTCACCCACCTGCTCACCTATAGCGACCACGCGGCAATCGTCTTCCACACAAGACACAATCAGCCACACCAAACCAACCGGGAAACTGCCTACAGGGTACACACCCTAAACCCCGAGGTGCTCCTAAGCAGCATGGATGCCAACACCATTACAGGCGAGGCAAACACCTGCGCGGATGTGATATCCGCCAGGATCAAGGCAGCCTGCGACGCGGCAATGGAGAAATCCACTAAGGGCGGCGGAAGGCGACCAGTCCCCTGGTGGAACCAGGAAATAGCAAGGCAGAGATGCCAAAGAAGCCGAGGACGCACCACGCGGGGAGGCTTCAAGAAGTACTGCCTCGTATGCACCTTGGACGTCAAAAATGCATTCAACTCTGCAAACTGGAGTCTAATCCTGCAAGCACTCCAGCGTGGCGGCATATCTGGCTATATTATCCAGCTGATTGCCGACTACTTCAAGGACCGCGTCCTGCTGTACAGCTCTGACGCCGGAAACCAGAGACATCACGTGACAGGAGGCGTACCCCAGACTCAGTCCTCGGGCCACTTCTGTGGAACGTCATGTATGACAATATACTGAGGCTGTCACTACCTGAAGGTTGCTCTGTAATTGGCTTTGCAGACGACATCGCACTTGTCACGGTGGAGGAACACCTATCAGACGTCTCTACTAAATGTAGCCATGCGATAGACATTCTGATGTCGTGGATAGCATACAACGGTCTCTCCCTTGCCGAGCAGAAAACGGAGGCCGTACTTATCAGTAGCCGAAAGGTTGTCGAGAAGGTGAACTTCCGGGTCGGCTCGTTAAATACCTTGGGGTCCTGATCGACCATAGGCTCAACTACAAGTGTCACCTGGAGTACGCAGCGGCCAAGGCTTCCAAGGCCACTGCCGCCATCTCGAGGATGATGGCCAACACGCGCGGTCCTAGGCAGCACAGTAGACGGCTGATATCAACAGTTGTGACGTCAACCCTACTCTACGCCGCACCGATATGGGCGGAGGCCATGCTGGTTGCGAGCTACAGCCGCCAATGCAGGACGGTGTATCGCCGCTGCGCGCTGTGCATTTCCAGCTGCTTCTGCACGGTCTCTGAAGAAGCTGCGCTGGTGGTAGCCGGATCGATCCCTACCGACCTGCTGGCAGCGGAACGCAGGACCGGTAACTCGGGCATCAGAATCCAGAGGAGCATCTCTGTCGCAAGGTGGCAGGCGAGATGGGATAACGCACTGGACGCTGGACACATCGGCTTATCCCCGATCTGGACCAGTGGATACACAGACGTCACGGGCAAGTAGACTTCTACACAACGCAGCTGATCATGGGCCACGGATGCTTCAAGGCCTATCTTCACAGATTCAAGCACGAGGCCGACCCATCCTGCGACTATTGCGGCGGTGCATCCGTTGAGGATGCAGAACACACCTTCTTCGAGTGTCCGCTTTTCCGCGCGGAAAGAGAGGCAGCAGAGGCAACAACCAACCGTCGCCTTACACCCGAGACCATGATTGGGTGTATGCTGGAGACCCCATCCAACTGGGATGCGGTTACGGACATGGCAGCAACCGTCATGAGGAAGCTGTTTGTATGAGTGTTTGTTAGTGTGAGTAGGCTTCGATGCCTGGCAAAATAGCACATAAACTAATTGCCTTGTTTGTGTCGCACCCAGCACTTGAACTAGGTGGACTGCAGTTGGAGGAGTAAAGATCTCTTTGAATTGCAGATGATTACTGACTTTATTGATTCAAACTTAACGATATTTATAGCTAACAAAGTGCTTGCATTTACGAATATTAATAATAAAGAATAATGTAGGTTGCTAGTGCATGCGGAAACAAATATGCTTCTGGTTACAAATATTGATGTGCAAGAATAATGTAGGTTGTAATGGTATATGCAGAATGAGGCTATTGCTCCATCCCACTTCATCGCGTCAGCAGAATCTACATATGCGCTTGACCTGGTAATCGATACTTTATTTTGGCAGCATATGAGAGTGCTGCGACTGACGAATTACATATTATGTATTGTTATGATTATGAATTATATATATATTGCAGCGACTGAACATTCTCCCGGCCGTTGAACGGGTGTTCAACCTTCAGTAATGTCGAACGAAAAGCTCCGTGGGGTAGGTTCGGGTGCTGGCTGGTCACTTGTTGTCCGGGGATTGGGGCCGCATTGTGGTGTTCTCCAATTGCCTCGTCGATATCGTAGACTCAGGGTCACGATCAGTAGTATTGATATTGATAGTGCCACATAGGCGGCTACTTGATGATGGTGTACAACGCTGACTTGATTTTCGTACTTCGCATCTTTTAGTTTGGCCAGTTGTTGTTGTAGGGCATCTAGTTCGCGTAATTCGGCGTCGGCTGTCTTGGTCGTCGATTCTACGCCTGGTTTCGGTGTCTCTTCTATGTTTATCTTGGTGATGTTGCCAAAACGAACATATGCTGCTTTTGTCTCGCTGCGGCTTGTGCTAAATGTACTAACGCTGATTTTTGAGTTGCGTGCCGTACAACCTGCGGCGAGTGATAGTAAGCCTGTTCCTTCCATTTGTACTGTGGAGGGAACTCCCGTGCACACCGCCTGCAGTTCGATCGGACTGTGGGTTGCAAACATCCATCTGTTTCGTTGATGTGTTGCTGACCATATTAAATCGGACTTCGAGTTAGCAGTCTCACATTCCGTTTCAGTCTTGTTATTGAACAACTGAAATTCACATCGATTATCTACGCTAAACGTAGCTTGATGATTGACGCATATGTGTTCATCCTTTGGCAATTGTAGACATTGATCAAACTCGTCAGTAGTTAGTCCCATGAATTGATCTCTATGGGCATTGACAGTTATGATCCTTGTTTTGAGCTTGAATTCATGCCAGCTTCCTGCCTTCCATGCAGGGATGGGGATGACGCTGAAAACTTCTTGCTGCGCTGTGGATACTAATGGCAGCGTTATTTTGAAGATGACATGGTCAGTGGTTGTTGTTCCCTCGGCATGCATGATTCGATAGAGTTGTATTACGTCATTTGAAGAGACTGGCAGCTGTTGATCCGGTGGGATGTGCTCCCTAATCTGATCAAGTTGATCCCTTAATTGTTGGGGAGAAACTAGCATGGGGCTAATTGTTCGGTGGCGAATGTCGGTAAGAACGTTGGTTATCTCATTTTGCATTCGCTGCATTCCATTTGCCAGTAGAGTGAGCTGGGCTGTCAGGATCATGAATGCTTGTTGCAGATAGTTGCCTTGATATTTTCCTCGTTCTCTGGTGAGAGCATCTATTTGTCGTTCTATGTTTCGTATGCGGTCGTTGATAGCTGAATTGCCTTTCCTTACCACATTTATAGTGGAATCCAAGATTGATGTTTGGTTCTTCAGTAGCATCATTAAGACGTCCTCGTTTGATTTGACATCGTTTATGACCTTGGACATATCTTCAGCATATTTGGAATCCAGCACGCCAAATAATGAGTTCGCCACATTTCCGACTATATCTAGCGGTGATCTTCGCTGCCGTGAGTGATTAATAAGCTCATTTCCGGCTTGTAATTCGGCATGTACGTGTTGAAAGTGCGCGTATATAGAGTTACATGCATTGACATTCTGTAATTCTGAACACTTGTGCTTGAGTTCAGTTATCCCGGCAGCCAATACTCTCATGTCACTCCAATATGGTTGCAAGTCGTAATATACAATGATGGTCCAGTCTGAAATAGCCATTCTAGAGGTCCCGATTCTTTCATAGAACAGTCCTGGCTGATTTGTGAAATGCGTGACCTTTGTTTGTTGTCCCAACGCTAGTGGCAGAATGAGTAACATTGCCAGCAGGGTTGGAAGGATCGAAGGTGATATCTTCCTCCTCTGTGTAGGCATTTCATCCTTTGCCGTTGTATCTTCGATGGAACTGCGCGGACGTTTAACGGCTGTTTCTTCTTTTAACAGTGGCGCGAGACGAGTTACTGACCGTTTGAAGATCCCAGATGCAGTCTTTACATCTACTACTCGGACATGGTCGTCCTTACCGGGATATGTCTTCACTATTCGTCCCATTGGCCAACTCATCACAGGCACGTTGTCTTCCTTGACTAGCACAAGTAGTCCCTCTTTCACGTTTTGTGATGCGGTTTTCCACTTGTTGCGCATTTGAAGCTCTTGTAGATACTCCATAGACCATTGGTCCCAGAACATTTGTTTTAATCTGGACACTAATTCCCATCTTTTCACCAACGTTTTCCCTGGTGAGGCTAGATTTGCATCGGGAGCGGCGGTCAACGGTTCACCAATCAAAAAATGGCCAGGAGTCAGAGCTGATGTATCTGTTGGATCAGATGACATTGGTGTCAGCGGTCGGGAATTGAGGATTGCTTCGACTTCCACGATTACGGTGTTAAGCTCCTCAAATGTTAATGAC